AAAAAAGAAAAGAAAAAAGAAAAAAAATAAATTATGTTAGCAAAAGTGCCATAAGGACTTGGTGGGCTGAATGCTCTCAAATCTGTAAAAATTAAATTTTAAAAAATTTCAATATTCACACTAAAACTATGCTTAAATATATTTGGCCCTAGGGAAGTTACTTAACATCTTTGTCCCTGTTTCCTCCTCTGCAAAATAGTGCTAACATTACCCCTCAGGAATATTGTAAGAATTAAATGAATTAACTCTTTTGTAGTGCTATTAAAACAATGCCTTGTATATATAGCTAGTGCTAAGTTACACGTCTGTTAGACAAAATAGGTTATGGGACCAAACATCAAATTCCAACAGGAGTGCTTAAGCCTTCTAATATAAATGCAAGTGTCTTAAGGTATTTCCTCTCCCCCCCCCTTTTTTTAAGACAGAGTCTCAAACTGTCACCAAGGTAGAGTGCTGTTGATGTCATAGCTCACAGCAACCTCAAACTCGGGCTTGAGCGATCCTCTTGCCTCCGTTTTTCTATTTGTAGTAGAGACAGGGTCTCACTTTTGCTCAGCCTGGTATCAAACTCGTAAGCTCAAGCAATCCACGCAGTGCTAGGATTACAGGCAAGAGCCACCACACCTGGCCTCCAATTTTTATTAGTTACTTGTTTGTTTTTTCCTCTGAGACAGGGTCTCACTTTGTGGCTTGGGCTGGAGGCAGCATCATCATCATAGTTTACTATAACCTCAAACTCCTGGGCTCAAGCAGTCCTCCTGAGTAGCTGGGACAACAGGTGTCTGCCACCATGCCCAGCTTATTTTTTCAACTTTTTGTAGAGACAGGTATCTTGCTATGTGCTCAGGCTAGTCTCGAACTCCTGACCACTAGAGATCCTTCCCCCTCAGCCTTCCAAAGTGCTAGCATTATAGGTGAGAGCTCCCATGTACCACCTAATTTTAACTGAAACTAAGATTCTACTTCTGTTGCATAAACATAAATAAGTCATAAAAATTAATGTCATTGTCAAGAGGCACACAGATAATAGGGCCAAGTGTGTCAACTCACTCCTGTAATCCTAGCACTTTGGGAGGCCAAAGGAGAAAGACTGTTTTGAGGCCAGGAGTTCAAGACCAGCCTGAGCAAGAGCGAGACCCAGTCTGTACAAAAAAATACAAAAATTAGGGGCTTGGGGATATGCACCTGTAGTCCCAGCTACTCAGGAGGCTGAGGCAGGAGAACTGTTTCATCCTAGGAGTTTGAGCACTTTACTGAGGGTGACATAGTGAGACTCTGTCTCCAAAAGAAAAAAAAAAGTCACAAAACTATTTGATTTTTTATTAAAACACATCTAATGTAAAGTTATCTCGTAAGTTGTCAAACTATGCTGATTAAAGAGAGAAAATGAAAGAAAAAATTCAAGCATCTTTGAAACTCAGATCAAGCTTCTTGCACAAGGCAAAGACAAAGGTAACAGTTTTACCTAAAAATGCCTTAGTCCCATCTAGATTATAAAATGTTATGAGATAAAATTATAGGCTCTTTCCTGATATTAAAGCATGATTGAACTTCTATAACACAGAAAATAACAAATATAACATTGACAACAAATGCTTGAAGCAGAAAATATGAATAAAGAAATAATCTTACAAATTATTATTGACCTAGATTTATAATACAATAAAAAGTTTTTATGAACAGGAATGCAAAAGATGACTAAGATATTTCTTGAAAGACTGCCTAAAAATTAATGAAATTCAATAGCTGGACTATTTTTATAAAACAATATATCTATACTTTTTGCCAAAGTAGTAACAGAAATATCAACAAATAGTTTGACCAAGTTTTAACTTAATTTGCAGAACTCAGAAAGGAACCCAATTCATTCTAATTTTCCAAAATAAATATATCTGCCTATGAAGCAGAAAAGGTAAGTTAAAATTAAAAATTTGGGAGAAAACTTGTGAGTTAAATAAAATTAGGCTAATTCAATGGTCCTTTAATAGGAGAAAATAGATGATTCACAAATACAGTATAATTTTCTAAAAAGCAAACTTCCTTTTTTTTGCCATTTTTGGCTGGGGCTGGGTTTGAACCCGCCACCTCTGGCATATGGGGCCAGTGCCCTACTCCTTTGAGCCACAGGCACCACCCCAAAGCAAATTTCCTTTTAAAGAGTTTCAGGTAAAATTACAGAGTATCCCAAAACCACCCCTAAAGTTGCTGCCCATAGGTAAAAAGGGACAGTGTAGGTAAACGTACCTTTATTTACAAAATATTACAAAATTTTACAAAGTACTTATAAAATTATTCTCTATGTGTTGGCCACCTCTTCGTAAAATTTTGGGATGAATGTTTTGTAAATAAAGGTACACTTACCTACACTGTCCCATTTTCCCTATATGTGGTGACTTTAAGGGTGACTTTTGGGACACCCTGTATAACAGAAGCCCTAAAATTGGTATTGTGTAGGAACACTCATAATAAATAAAAACTTATCAGGTAAGTTATTAGAAAGTAAACTATTATTTTTTAAATGCTACTTCTAGTCACTGAATAAATTAAAATGGCCTGAGAAAAAGTCAACTCCATTTTCCAAAGCTTAACTTACATTCAAAATATGACTAGATTTCTTTTTCAATGTTCATAGGTATTGTTATAATAGGTATTCTAAATTAAACTGCAAAAAAAATTCTAGGTATAAAAACTGTAAACCCATTTTGAATAAAGTTAGTAAAGTTCTTTTGCTCAATCCTAATTGAAAAACAGATTTTTAAACCTTAAACTTAAGGAACCTTTATGTCTTTTAATGATAAGAACTTTATTTCATTTGGGGCAGAGAAGTAATGGGTTATACATTAAAATATCCCCCATGACCTAACTTTTTTCAAGGAAAACCCTAAGTAGAACCCTAGAACTATATTTTGGGAACATATTTATGTTAATATATGTCAATTCACCAACCAAAATACGTGTATCTTATTAAGAAAATTTAAAATATAAAATTATATAATATACATGACTCAACACAAATTCTGAACCGTGAACTGTGCCTATTTTTAGGTACCGTTATTTTCTCTACTGGTGGAATGTCCTGCCAACTCTTGATTATATACATACTATCTGTGCTCATCTTCCCCTGTATCAGGTTTTATGAAGATCTTAAGTTTGAAAGAACTTGATTTTCATCTGACGGATGAGAGATATAAAGAAGCATGCAAGGAGAAAAATTAAAATAATCAAGCAAAAAAAGAAAAAAGAAAAACCTATCAATCAACATGATACACTCCTAAAAGCAGAATGAGAAAAGGTTAGCATCTGCAACAGCTGCATGGAATTTTAGCCAAGACAGCATGAGACGCATGAGGCATGCTAAAGGAAAGGAAAAGGATGGTAATAAAGCTGCTCTATTCATTGGCTTACCGCTCTGTACATGATCTGTCTGGCCAAGGAAGATTGAAAGACATTCTATAGCAAATCAAGGCATAGGACAGAACAAAATGATTATAAAAAATGCAATGGCTTTAAAGCAAAAACACAGTACAGTATAATCAGTTTTTTTAACTCAAAATGTACCATATCAAGAAAATGTCATCATTGTCCCAAACTTCAAAGACAAATGAGGACAAGCCAATTTCAAGTGATACTTTACCAAAGACAATGGTCTTTTCAACTTACAATTATCACCAGTACATTTGAAAATAAAATTTAAATGTTCATGCTATAAAATATGTAGCAGTAATAGTTCTCCAATTTAGAAGTGCTAACTTAAAGTAAAATGGTTAGCTTTTGAGAGCCAACATTATTAAGCAAACAAATCTTTCAGGCTTGATAAAACACCTTAATAATTGCCAACTGACCAATTCAGATAAGGTACAATTTCAGAGGATTAATGAAAATAATCTATTATCTTCTTTCATATGTACTAAATGGGAAAAATGTACTTTTATATGCTTGTGCACTATCCTTAATAAAGAGCCAAACAACAAATTCCTGACATTCAGTTCTTAAAGGCAAATATTTCAACTTTCTTAAGAGACTCCAAGGAAGTAAAGTCAAATATTGTAACACATTTCCAAGATAAGCCTTACTTAGAAACAAATTCTGTGTTGAAATTATAAGGTTAGCATTAAACTCCAAGAATAATAAAGATTAAGACTAATACACAGGGAAAAAATATACCCTCACAGTTACTGTAAAAAACAAGGTAACAGATATTCTTAACTCATCATTATTGGCCTGTCTCCCATTTGTAATTCACAGGAAAATCAAGTTTTCTAAACAATATTCAGCAAACAAAATTCTATGAAGATCTCAGTTCTTAAATTTGAGAAGGTGGATTTTTGCTGTAGCATGACCTAATTTTGTAGGTTTTAAATTCCTGAAGCTGAGGAAGAAGCTCATGCTATCAGATCACTAAACTGAGTAGATGATTCTCCACTCCCTTCACATTTGGGAAACAGTTATACTACATGAAATATAATACATATTGGGACCAAAACATTTTTTAATGAATGGCATAAAGGGGCCGATTCATTATTTCCATCTGATTTAAGCCAGTGGGAGAGGAGAGAGGAATCTATACAGTCAAATTTTACAGTATTAAAGTACATCCCTACAGTTATAATACAAACTATGAAGTCATTTAATAGAAAATATATTCTGGGATCCTTTTCTGGAACACATTCATCACTAACATTAACTTAATATAAGACATGCTTCTTTAGTTTTAATTATTCATTTTAAACTCATACTGTATGGGCAGCTTACCTGTCCACAGGAGTGGATGTATTCTCAATGAAACTGATAACTTTTTCCCTGACATTAACAGATTTTGTCTTCAAAGCCACAGTCATTTTATTGACTAGTGATTTCATTCCTCTATCATTTGAGCCATTAGAAGAGTCACCCTGAAAAAAAAGAACATCGATGTATTAACTGCTCTCCAAATGATTAGCAAAATACTACTGCTGAAGTTTAGCCACGTGTTATGAACTAATTGCATCCACACCAAATTTGTACGTTGAAGTCCTAACTCCCAGCACACCCTGGCATGTGACTGTATTTGGAGATAGGGCCTTTAAAGAGGTAATTAGTTAAATGAGGTCATATAGGCTGATGTTCTTATGTAAGAGTGAGAGAAACAGACACACACAGAGAAAAAGCCATGTGATGAGGACACTGGGGGAACACGGCCACTTGTAAGTCAAGAAGAGAGGCCAGCCTAAAGATAAACCAAACCTGCCAACACCTTGTTCTTAGACTTTCAGCCTCCAGAACCGTAAGAAAATATATTTTTGTTAAGCCACCCAGTCTGTGGCGTTTTGTTACAGCAGTCCCAACAAACTAATTCATTATGTAAAATCATTGTAAAAGACAGAAATAAAAAATTAGAAAATATTTGCTATACATGTCTATAGAGTCTAAAATTACCTTATTTATTCAATAAGAAATAGTTCAAGCTATTGATCTTTCTTATCTCAGATTAGTCTACAAAATAAGCAAAAGTAAAATCAAACTTCCATTCATGTAGCTAATTTTTAAACATGTTACTTATAAAGTCTTGCTTTTCAAAACATTCCCACTTAGTGCTTTAATTTGTGAAAAAAAACATTATCCTGATGTACCTACTAAGTGTGAGTATAATTCTTACGTTGTTTCATGGGACTGCTCACATATACCCAAGGAGAACAATTTGTGATCGGTGTCAAACATTTAAAAGAGATCCTACTTTCTGCCCATTCATTTCTCTTCAGAGTTTATGGGAAAGAAATAATCAGAAAGTGTCCAGATGCTATTCAATGGAAAAGTAAAATAGTCATTTAAAAAAATCATACTTAAAAAAAAATTTTTTTAAATACCAGAAAATGCTCACATGTTCAGTGAAATAGCAGAAAATAAAACTATGTACTCGGTGGTGCCTGTAGCTCAAGCGGCTAAGGTGCCAGCCACATACACCAGAGCTGGTGGGTTCGAATCCAGCCCAGGCCCATCAAACAGTGACAACTACAACCAAAATATAGCCGGGTGTTGTGGTGGGTGCCTGTGGTCCCAGCTACTTGGGAGGCTGAGGCAGGAGAATCGCTTAAGCCCAGGAGTTTGAGGTTGCTGAGCTGTGAGGCCGCAGCACTCAACCCAGGGTTATAGCTTGAGGCTCTATCTCAAAAAAAAACCAAACTTTTTTCTTTTATTCCCCCTTTTCAAATTAAATTCTTAAAAAAAAAAAAAAAAGAAACTCTTTAAAAAAGATTTCATGGAAATATTTTAAAATATAAATGGTGATTGTTTCCATAGAGTCACAGTGATTTTGGATTTTTTAATACTTTTTTTATTTATATATGATGGTACAATGAATATCTGTTACTTTTATTTTTAGAAGAAATAAGTCATTAACAACACAAAAACTATGTTTCTATAACTATATCTAAATTCAAACAAGAATTAAAGTGACTTTGATACTTTTGAATAGAACACATCTTTAAGACAGTTGAGACAATAGCCTCAATCAGTATTTTTCAACTCTGAAGATGAGGCTCAGCGCCTATACCTCAACGGGCTAAGGCGCCAGCCACGTACACCTAAGGTGGCGGGTTCGAATCCCCAGCCTGGACACGCCAAACAACAATGACGGCTGCAACCAAAAAAATAGCCGGGTGTTGTGGTGGGCACCTGTGGTCCCAGCTACCTGGGAGGCGGAGGCAGGAGACTCGCTTGAGCTCAGGAGTTGGAGGTTGCTGTGAGCTATAATGCCATGGCACTCTACCCAGGGGGACAGCTTGAGGCTCTGTCACAAAAAAAAAAAAAAAAAAAATCTGAAGATGAAAGCCTCAGGAGAAAAGCTAGCCAATGCTGTGGATAGTAATAAAAATTAGAATAATATTTTTGGAGGGCCATTTGATAAATATGCAGAATTCTAAACATTTTAATAAGTTATGTTTTGATCAAGTCACTCTACTTCCAGGACTTCATAGATATGCAGATATATCACTATAAAAATTAATTACAGTAGTAATTATAATAGAAAAAACCAGAATCAATGCAAAATATTTGATGAGAGAAAACTGAATAAATAATGCATTCATTCAATGAAATACTATTTAGATATTAAAAATGAAAACAGCAAATGTTTATTAAATAAATGGTTATTTCACATGAAAAGCTCTTAGATACCTACAGTATCGGGTTAAAAAGAAAATTCTCAGAGAAGCCTTATTTGCTGATAACGGGATAATAATCTGCTCTCATTTGCATGGCTGAAGGTAAAACTTCAATTAATACAGCTAGTGAATTACAATTTTGTAATAACTACCATTATGCATACAACACTTTACATGTACTTGCCCATTTAATCCTCAAGTTATCCTTATGAGAAAAGTTCTGCTATTAACATTTCTGTTGCACAAGTGGAAAAATCACAACTGAAAGATTTTATACTGGGCTTCATGAGAAAGGTGAGTTGTAGAGATGACACGTGAACCCTGTATGTAAGACCCAGAGGCCCAAGATAGAAATCATGACTCTGTACTACAGTTTGCCTTATAGTTCTGTCTTAAATAATAATTAGGTAGATAAAGACCATTATAATGTTAACAAGATGATTTAATGACACCTAATTCAACTGACACAAAATACTGAGAAAGCATAAAAGACCTACTGCCCAGAGATTTCCAAAGTATAACAGAAAAACAGATATATTCACTATAGCAAAACCCTGAAGTATTGCAAATCTTGATAACTAAAAATCAAATATAATAGGATTGGGAATTGGTTCCTTTCTTCCTGTGCCTGGCCCATTCTCAAATGTGGATAGACTGAAGTCACAATCATGTACGTCTGTGGTGGGAATGGGTACAGATGCAGTGCATGCAGGAGATGACAATAAGCCTGAGTATTCTCATGGCCCACTCACTGGGAGATTCCTGGAATCAGATTGTTTCAGAGTACCAAACAGTGATAGGAGCCATCCAGTTTTAAGCTGGAACATAAAACTGTTACTAGGTGATACCAAACTATAGCTAAATTAGGAGAATTTGAATTTAGCAGTTGATCTTCAAGAACTTTCACCGGGTTTAGCTGTGTAAGTTGGCTCCATCATTTCATTAACCTCACAATGACCTTGCATTGTATGTATTTGAAATATTTTTACTCCATTTCTGTTATGGTAGTGGCTTAGATGGTAATCATCTTTTCTGAACATCTATCCAAATCTGTGAGATATTCTCCACAAACACTTACATCAACACAAGAAATGATGCTGCTCCTTGAGCCTGAAGTACTAGCAATCCAGTGGCCATATCCATTTTCTGGTCCATCTACATTAATGTCAGCCAAGTGTTGCTGCAGTGCTTAAAATAAACAACAAAAATAAAACAAAATCTGAAAGAGCAACCCCCTTTGGAAAGAATCATTACCAAATAAGTACAATAAATATGTCATAGCCAAGAAAAAAGGATCCAATGACATAAGCACAATCCTGTAGAGAAGCAAAGGACTCCAGGCTACACAACCTTCCTCTTGTCCTTCCTCCTAAAGCACTCTATACACCACTAACTTTTCTTAACTGACTCTAGGGTGATGATAACTGTATCGGCTTTATGTTACCTTTGGAAGGTAACATTTCAAGTATTAACAGATAATCTCTGCATTTTTATGACATAAAAGATTAACAGAGAATCTGTGGTGGCTTTTGTTATGCCATAAAGAGAAATTAATCCATCTTTCCTGTAACAAAGAACCAGTCTTAGGCATTAACAGTTATGGAAAGAAAGATTATTTGGGTAAATCATTCACAGATTGTTAAAAGTTGCTAAAATCTAGACTGTACTATAAAAGAATGCTTTTCAGACACTTTTGAGAATTACGAGCTTAATAACCAAATTTGATATCATGTTATCAGGATTCCTAACAAATAACACTGGGCCTAGAGCCAATGCTTGTTTAACATGACTTATTAAAATGATCTCTTCTGTAGAACACTGAGTAGTCATTATATATTCACAATCCTTTTAATGTTAACAAAGACCAATAGGAAATAGATCCGAAAACCTGAGATTCTGTTACCTTCAACATATATTGATTTTCAGAGCTCCAGTTGTTTAATCCTTCAGTACAAGGCATTTACAGATGGACCTGATTGTCATTTATTTTCCCCAGCACTTACAGTTGAGTATTTTTATGATATCTCTTTTTAAATCTTATTACACTGACCTAACACTTCATAAATTCTCAAATCTTGACTGTAAAGATATTGCCATTTTATTATCCTAGATTACAAAAAAATTAATCTGCAGATTTGAAAATGTCAGTTTACCTTATTCCATTCAGATGATTTTTTTAACAGCTAATAATACTATGAAGTAGTTCAAAAACAAAATAATAAAATAGCCAAATAGTACAAAGGGTGTACTATAAAAAGTATTTCTCCAAATCTTGTTTCCCAGTCTTCTTTTCTTTTTTTTAATAGAGCTTTAACAAATTTTTAACTTTATTATTTTTTTTTTTGCAGTTTTTGGCTGGAGCTAGGTTTGAACCCGCCATCTCTGGCATATGGGGCCTGTGCCCTACTCCTTGAGCCACAGGCACCGTCCCCCAGTCTTATTTTCTAAACCTTCTCTGCATAGAGGCAAATAATACAGGCACTTTTTCAAGTATCTTTACAGACATATTTTTTTGAAACACAATCTAACATCTTTACTCATTTCAACTGCCTATTATGTTTGTCTGCTACTAATATGTCCTGCTGGCCTTGCCTTTTCTAGAAACATTCAGTGACTGAAGAGAAAATCTACTCATTAACTAATTTTGTCACTTGATAATATAATGTCCTATCAAAAGTAGAAGCAAAGTGGCTGAGTGAGATGCTGGGCAAGGAGGCTCACACCTATCCTAGCACTCTGGGAGGCCAAGGCAGGGGGATCATTTGAGCTTAGGAATTCAATACCGGTCTGAGCAAGAACAAGACCCTGTCTCTTCTAAAAATAGAAAAA